CAATCATTCATTCATTCATTCATTCATAGTGTAAGGAAAGGAAACAGAATTTAAAATGCAAAATGCCCCAGAAACTAGATCATTTTCATCTCTCCCATTCCAACATGATCATGTTTTGAGATGTCTTCAAATGCACAGAAAATTCAACCACAGACACCACAGTCCTGAATACCACACCAAACAGACAGTTTGTGATATTACAATCCTGAGAGCAAGGCTCGACACCAACTCTTCAACTTACTAGCCAAGTGACTGATGACATCTTAGATGCTACAACAATGTCAGTTTGTTTACTAGCCAAACTGGCTAGTGGAAACTGAAAACCACTAGCCAAAACCGAATTTCTACTAGTCGGTGGCTAATTGACTACCGTTAGAGTCAAGCCCTGTGAGAGTGTATGCATAGGTGCAGATAACTTCACTTTTAACAATACAGCTTACATTTTGACACCATAGAGCTCTGTTGGAAAGTTTTTCTGTACTTCATCCTTGATCACAGTCAGTGAAGACTTAGAGAACAATTCTCTGAGTTTTTTATCAGACCTGAAATAGTGGAATGGATAAAAATTACTCACCATTGTTTTGCACTGAGATCTCATACTCAATTTTGCATGCAAAAGAGGAAAGTGGCAATAGTGCAGGCTGAATTTTTGATCACTTGGTAAAGCACAATAGGCACTTCTGAGGTTTCATATTTACAATCATTGAATATCAAACAATTTTGTCTTGTTGCAAAGATTGAAATGGATGCTTGACAAATCGTCAAGTATTAGTGACACTAACATAGGGGAAATAATTGAAACAAAAATTGTTTTGAGCACTTGTGAATCATACTTGAATTTTTTCCATTTCTTGCATCCACCATTTTGTAAACAAGAAGTTAAGCAGTAGCCTTATTTGGAATTTCAGTTGGCAGCCTAATTTCTCAGCAACTTTGTTGCCATACCTGGTTACGCTGCTGTCCTCAGCATCCATTTCAATACTATCCTTTGTGACATTTTCTTTGACACATATTAAACCACCTGGCATGAGCCCCAGCTGACATTGCTTGAAAAAATCCACAAAATCATCTAATAAACAGGAAGGAAAGTAGCATGTCTTGCAGGGCTCAACACTAACTTTTCAACTTACTAGCCAAGTGGCTGGTGACATCTTAGATGCTACAACAATTTCAGTTTGTTTACCAGCCAAACTGGCTAGTGGAAACCAAAAACTACTGGCCAAAACTGAATTTATACTAGCCTGTGGCTAGTGGGCTACCGTTAGTGTCAAGCCCTGTCTTGATTACAATAACTCCATAAAAATCATTCTGTTATAACTACAAACTGCTGCTTTTTTTCACTACTTCAGCAGGTCCAGAGGAGAAGATAGAGATGGATTGGCCATGTGTTCTGAATGCCACCAATAGCCCTGCCCAGAGTGACCCTCTGATAGACTCCAGATGGCAGATGAAAGAGAACCTGCCCCTCAGAATCTTGGAGGAGACTGTAACAGTAACAAGATGGAAATCTATAAAATTAAAACAACTTACATATATCATTGGCGAATACTCACCGTCTGTCAAATGCCCTAGCACCCACTGACACCAAATGATACTGTACCGCCCTGGTTCAGGTTTAAAATCCTGCAAAAGGTGGTTTGTATGTCTTATCATAAATACAGTACTCCAACTACTGCACCACAAGCAATTTTTTAGGTCCAGCCAATGAAGTAGGTCATTAACACTTAACATTCCAACATCAGGATGCATATTCTCCATACTCTTCTCTATACATTCCCTAGGGTGCTGACAAGGAGAATTTGTTTAACAATCAAGAGCTTCATTAGATAGTGATCATTCCTTTATTCTCCTGACCTTAATGTTTGATCAGGAGTGATATTGTAAGGAGAAATTAGATGCTGGTCACTCTGAGATGTCAAAGGATTAAGGCATAGCATACGCACCTGGAGACCTAGTGGATAAAATTTTCCAATTTGATCCTTTTTGTCTCCCTAAAATAAAACATATTTGCACAGTCAGTCTACAAGATGACGATTGAGTTAATAATACCAAAATCAGTAATCTTAATCAGTAACATTGTTATCTATTTCTCCATATGTTTTTCTCACCAGAAAAACTTTTGCTTCTTCTAGAAAATCAGCATTTTGCTCCACCATATCCACAGTGTTGAACAAGGGTAAAAGCAAGTTCTTTGTGACACGACCAATTCCAGCACCACAGTCTAAAAATATTTTCACAAAAATTATAAACTTTTTGTATCATGTATCTGGAAAGAGCTGACTATTAGATTTCAACATGATCAAAGATCCGTCTTCCAAACCTTAACCCCAAAGATTTGATTGTTAATTCTCCCCTCTAGTTGCTACACATTTCTTGGTAAATTAGTCAAGAGAATTTAGTGTTAGATCAATATAACTTCTGCTTGATAAGTTTGAGAATTACCTATTTAAAGGATAATACACATGTGTATGTACATCATGGGAAGATGTTAGGTAATATG